ACCTAAGGGAATGCCTGCCATAATTAATAGAGTTAAATCTTGGAATAGTAAATTCTTTAACTCTTAAGTTATACACTGTGTGATTTGCTGAGAATTAAAGAGAAGTCTTCTCTTTAAGAAGAGAAATTAAAACCAGGATTAAAAAAAAACGCTTAAATCAAGTGAAGTGGGTAAAATAACGACACCAGAAGCAAGCAACGCACGCATGGAATAAGGTAAGCCATTTTTATGTAATATTTTCACTTTTAACTATCTCTATGGATATCTTGTAGAAAATCCCATACAAATTCTTATAAATCGATATGCAAATTGTGTTCCTTGTGTGGTTCTCAAAGAGAGCTTGGGCCGCCTGTGATCTATCTATGCCCTTCAGACTGAGAGAATTTTTCGGCTGGTAATGACAGCGATCGTTTTTGCCTACGGCATCTTGCAATTGGACCATTTCGAGGTAGGCTACGGACACCTTGCAGCTTCTTGTTCATGCCTTGTTGGATTGCGGCTTTTGTAAGTGAAGTCTGAATGCTGGTTTTTTATTACCTATGCTAATGCTCTAAATGGATAAAACAGGAGAAATTCGAGGTTCCTGGCGAAGATAAGAGATAACTTTTTGTTGGTGCTTCTTTTCCTTTCAATAATCCCACCGATACCTCATGAGCACTTGATTGGCAGTCAATTTTCTTTGTAGTCTATTGGTGACGACGTCCCCGCTCTCTGTTGCCCCTGAACAAACGTTCGACCATTTAACGTGATTTCTAAAACCTACAATGTCCTTCTTGCTTGGATAGGTATTGCCAACGGGCATTGTGGGATTGATTCTGGCGATGAGAATTCCCTCCGCATTCATTATACTGAGTCAGAAAAAAACAATTAAAAAAAATTTCGTAGAGAGTGAAGATTACTCTAGGAGCTTATAGAAGCGTCAAAAGTATGTCTTAACGTATGCCTTACTTAGTTTTCTTTTTACGTGACCCTGTAAATGTCATTAAAACAGTCCCATAGTAAAACATAATATGATAAAGCTACTTTTTGTGTTTTAATGATTACTTTACGAATTCTAATTCTGCTCAAGGTAAGGTTTGGTAAAACCTACCCCCCTTCCTCAACCCCTCCCGAATGAACAAGAGCGTGGCTCTCATGAAAATCTTAGTGAGTTTCTTTTATGTATTGTATTAATATGAGATGTAGTGAAAACAATTTAAGGAATATATGAACTATAGCAGGGATCAAGGACTGTAAATTAGTTTTGGACAATACGAGCAAGCCGTTTGAAGCATATGAACGTATAACTTTGTTTCGGCGCGATACGGCAGTAAGACGACTTGCAATAATCTATGCATTGGGTTCGGCCACATCAGAAATACTTCACGGCTTCCATTTGGATTGTTGCAACGCAGCCCATCCCAAACTGATCAAAATGCAGCTCTTGAAAATAAGGAAAACGAATGACAAATGTAACGCTTGAATTAAACGAATGTCGAACTCAGAAAACGACTATCAAGGTTAAATAAAACGAATGTTGAAGTTGAAAAACGAATGTCAAGGTTGAATAAAAGTAGTACTGAAATTGAGATATACTAATCAGATGTTGATAATTTAGGTCTCTTCATCCTATACCATTTCACTTGATTTCAGGCCAGTCCTGACAGAGAAGGATAAAGAACACTGCAACAATATTCCTTGGGTTCCCCTTTTTTGCTCCCTTTTTTATCCCTCCATATTTCTCTTCTCTCCCCTTGCTCCTCCCGTTCATTCCTCTTCTCTTCTTTTCCTTCCATCCCCCCCTCCTTCGTTCCTTTCTCCTTTCCTCCAATCCAATTTTCCTTCCCTTCTCCTTCCTGCCCCTTTTCCTTCTCTTTCTCATTAATCAACTGGATGTTTTATTTTATTTTTTAGTCATACTATGAATATCATCAAATGGGAAACGGACAAGTACAGATCCAAATGCAGCCTTTTCCACAACAAGCTATGGTGACTATTCCAATCACTGGAGCAAACCATAGAAGCGGTGGCATCCAGCAGCCACAGTGCATGTAGTTACGGAAAGTTCGTCTGTTTGTATCGTGACCTTGTATAGTCGCTTATAAAAATACCATATTAAGCACTAAAACGCTAGCCTGAGCGATTAATCAACGATAAAGCTGCGCTCTCTTAATAACAACTTACGCAACGTAATGTAACTTAACGTAACGGAAAGCAACTGTAACGTAACGAGAATAAATTGTATCCTAACAGGGCTTCAGAAACCATCATGTAGTGAACATGGAGTAGCAAATAACATCGTTGCGGCTAGTTGACGCGCGGCTATCTGGGTTCCCAAACGGGACATCTAAGTTTTTGTGCATGCGCGGTGGCGGCATCTTCGAACGGTGTCACGAGGCTACCGAGTTTATCGTTCGTTTTTCCTCATTTTTGGCTTAACGTTGCGTCAAACACTGTAACATTTAGTGCAAGTTTTCTCGAAGGATTTTGGATTAAATTTTTTATTTTACATGGTTGGTCACCGTTTGCGGAAACCAACATGTTGTTCAGGAAAAAAAAGGAAACTGTGCAAGTTATAGTTTTAAATTTAGTACAGGAGGTAGCTCCCTCAAGTCTTAACCAATAGAACTCCCTTTAGGGGGCGAGTTACGAAAAGAAACCTAGTTAATTCATCTCAAAGTTTTTTCTCCAGATATTCAGCAGTTCGGTTGACGATACAATTAGTAATCTGCTTTGGATGTTAATTTTCTATGCTTACGTCATTACCATGGCAACATTATCTCTAATGAAAGTC